ATTTCCCCCCCCCCCCCTGTGATGGCAAAAATGAATTTTCTGCAGCCATTACGCCAGTCTTCATTGTCACATGATCCTTCATTCTTAGTTATAGGCCTATATGAGATTCATTTTAGATATACATAAATATTGAGGACTATTAATGTGAAACACTGCTCGGTTATAACTCCAAAGGAAACAGAAATCAGATTGTTTTTCCTCAATGGTCTGCTCCTTTAAATTGCTTCAGGAGAAAGTGTTTCCTGGTTGCATACTCCCATGTCAAAAGATCCCAAGTTTGGTGATCTCTGGTGTGATCTGATGCTGAAACTGAAACTGATGCTGTTTTAAATCGTCTGAGGACGTTTAAGATGTAATACAGACGTGCTGAATAACTTTTCCTAAGTGAATTTCTGTTTATTCATATGCCGAACGAAAAAAAAATCTTAACCTGTGAGCGAAATACAATGGAGGCGAACACATAAATAAGTTTGTCCTAAGTTGAACAAAGGTTTTATTTAAATTGGCGAAAGTTTTAAAGCTTTGATTAAGAAGCAGCGTTGAGAATAAGACCTCACCGTCTGTGCGCTTAACCCGTGACGTCACTTTCCCAAACATTCGCCGCTTGGAAGTTTGTCCATATATGGAAGAGCGCTCCAGACTACAGTGAGTACATAGAACGCGAGTGTGCTTCTGACCTAGTCATACTTTTAGTGATAAAATTGCTGAAGAATGTTTCTAGAATTTTGCTAAATCAGATAAAGCTTTCTTTTAGGTTCTCAAATATAGAGAAAAGACAGACTGACAGATAATTAATTTTAATGTTATTATTATTATGAAAATAGTTTTCTTTTGGGTTAAGGTTAGTTTGTAATATTTACAACTATCTTCATTTGAAAACAATAGAAATCTATGGTAAAGAGCTAAATAGATAATGAAGGTTTGTGTGCCAGAGAGGGGCAGCCTCTGCAGAGGGGGACTTCTCTTCACCAGGAGGGGGCTTTACCTTACATGGCAGAGGCATTCAGTCCCAAACAACGGCCTTCTTCGGAATGCTGGGAGGATGGAGGCAGGAGGTGGACTTTGAACTGATGCTGTGCACTGGGGATGTGATGTAATGGTTTGAAGTTTGACAGCTCTGACAAAAGTGACAGGATCAGAGTGCTTTATTGCAGCGCAGTACATGCTATTGAATAATGCACAACACAGTATATTGTAAAGTCCAGAATAAAATAAAAATACAAAGAGTAAAAACAAAAGATTATTGTCATATAGACAATGAAATTCTTGGATAAGATAACATACTTTTTTGCATTAGGATAGACAGACAGATGCTGAACATATAACAACATAATACAATAAAATATATTGTATATACATATATAAAACTGAGGAGATATAAATATAAAATTTAGTTCAAAAATAGCAGCAGGATTAGAGACAAAACTGTAAAGAGGTAAACAGACAGTTCAAGATGTTAACGGTAGTAACTTTAATTCATTTTTGTTGCAGAATGAGCATGTGAAGGGTCCATATCCATGTGTTTTAATGTATGTAGAGTATATACAGTTGAGTGACCAATACAGTAAAATGATCAGGGCTGTGCATCACAGAAATGAACTGCTGACCCTTGTTCAGCCAATGCAGAGCATCAAATACTCACAAGGCGAACATCTGTTTGCGTCAGAGCACACAATGGATGTTCAAACATGCCCTGATTAAACAGAACTAATCATTTCAATCCTGTTCCAGAAATAACCACAAGGATTCAAGAGCGGAAATCTCATCATCTTAAACTTCACAGCCTTTCTTTCCTGGGTTAGATGTGATGAATATGAGGGATATCCCCTGCCAGTCCAGGCAGAAGTCTTTATGGAAAATGTCTGACCACATATGGCCTTGATCTGAAGCAGTGGCAGCCTCCACTTTCAGTCTTTTATCTATTCCCATAATTTATAATGGTGTGAAAATGTAATAGGCTCATTAGCCTGTTGGCAAAATCAGCTTAAGGTGGTAGCTGTGTTTTGGAATATGATTTTTAGCTGGTGCAAGCTGGTCATTAGCTGGTGATCAAGCTACCACGTTCCAAAAACCAGCTTGACCACCACAAACTGCTATGAGAAACTGGTAGATAGTCTGTTGCTAGTCCAAGATGGTCTACCAAACTACTTAATGACCTGTTTGGACCAGCTAGAAACCAGCTACGGTGTTCCATAACACAGAAACCATCTTAAATTGGACTTTTCTAGCAGGAATACTAGTAATAATCCTAAAGTGAGATGTCTTTGGATGTGGTATCCCCCACCACTTTCCTCCACCCTAATAGAGGAACATGAGCGATGTTACCTGAGACACGGTGAGCTAAAACAACTTAGGGTGTGGTCACCTGGAGGGCAGTGAGAAAACATTAAAGGATTATTTTAAAATAGCAAGAATTAGAATACAAATACAATTACAATACTTCATTAAATAAATTAATACAAACATAAATTCATCCTGCAATTAATTCAAGTGGCACAAATATCCCTAAAAGCTTTTCTAATACCTACGTCCATGCAGACAACCTACACCAAATCTATCAACGGACAGCAATATTAGCCAATCACCACAGAGCCATTTCTAGTGGGCGGGCTTTAAGGGTTTGCGCACCAGCCAATCAGACGACCTGCGTCGTCTTTCTTTTTATTTTTTTTTCCGTTACTGTGAAGTTTTTGCTGCCGATGCTCGTGCTGGAGGTTCTGCCTACTCGCCACTCTGGATAGCGGCCGTGAAAAAAAGGACAGAACGAAAAAGACAAGGAGACACAGACTTTGAGGAGAGTGAACGGGGCAGGGGAAACGAGGCGGCGACGTTAGTTTGGTGCCCATCGTTTTAAGTGCGCACGGGAGTGTTTACTGCAGCGCTCTGTGGGAGAGAGAGAGAGAAAGAGAGAGAGAGAGCGAGACCGTGGGACCGGAGAGAGACGGGAACAGCAGTTCAGAATGGATCACCATCACCACCATCAACAACAACATCATGATCACTATGATGGAGGAGAGAACGACTATATGCAGCAGGAAGATGACTGGGACCGGGATATGCTGCTTGACCCCGCCTGGGAGAAACAACAGCGAAAGGTACCGCGCTATAATCTCTCCACACCACCGGTTTTAGGCGCAAAGGGAACTTGCAAGAAACCAGCAGAAAAAAAAGAACATATCGAAATGTGGATATTTAAGGGGCCTGTTCGGTCTCCGAGTCATTCGGTTATGGGCTGCTGGTGAAATAGGCTTTGCACTGCGACGCATGCATTAATTTGTTTATATTGTGTGTATAATAATAGTTTCCCTTTAAACATGTGTGTACAGAAAATCAAAAGCTTATAAATTGTACATATTCCTAAAGCATCAGCCTTCATTATAAGAAACTTGGGGAACATCTGTTCCTATTCACCCCTCAGTCTGTCCATTCATTTGAGCGTTGTGACGGCCCGCCCCCAGTCAAACGATCCGGGACCCTGATCACCGGACACCGTGCGCCCACCTATTCTCCTCACCGCGCGCGCAACAGATGTCCTTGCTCTGTGGATGCGGCTCATATGATCCGCTGCGCGCGCAGAGAGCACGAGCTCACTTTATTTACGGTCACGGCACGCAGACCCCCTGTCTGGCGCTTTAACGTGTGACCCATTCAGAGAGAATCATTCTGTCTCCGATTCCTCTTATCGATTCAATTTCCCTAACGATTCTTTAATACTTTTGAGGAAGTAGCCTATCTTCTGAAAATAAGAAATGCAGTTAGCATTGCATTTACTGTCCTCTGTTTCCAAATAACGAGGTAACGTCTGATTAACAGAACTGATATAACAAATAACATACAATTGCAATAAAATGTTCTTATGTTTACGTTTTTCTAAATACGACAGGACGTTAAATATGTATTTATTCAACACGCTGTCATATGCATAACAAGTGACTACATGGATTAAGTCCTACAAGTACAGCATAAAGCAGGTGTTGATTAATTTCGCATGCGTCGTGAAGAAACTAATAATTCATGCAGAAAGTGATTCAGATTCATTTAGGCACCTCTCGTACTGATTCGGAAGTCGTTTTGATTCATCAAAATAGTTTGTTCATAGGAGTTGTTTGTTTGAGAACCGTACTTCGCTCTGTGGTTTAGACTCACTTAAGGAACCGGTTCGTAAGAGTCATTTTTTCGGGAATTGGACCATACGGATTGATTCTTAGACTCAGTAAGCGGTGTTGTGGTACACATTAGGTGCTACAAAACACTGTCAGAATATTTAGTACGGTGTTCAGTGATCATCAGCAGTGGAACGTACCGCTAACAGATCCAAACCTAACGTGAAAATCGCTCGGTTCCGGTATGTTTAACGGTCGTGATTAAGAACCGGTTACCGGTTGCCAATTCTAGGCCCATGCCAGCTCCGTTAACGCATTCCGGTAGACCGTTAGTTGAGAGAGGGGGTTGTTAATAAAAATCTCTCGGATGAGTTTTTTGCACAGAAGTCTAAAAACTATTTGAAATATGAGTGAAATATTTGTCGCTCCCACACTCTTTCCCTCCCCCTCTTGGAAAACTGGGAGGAAAAAAAGAGAACGAGTGCTGGAATCTGCTGTGGTTTGGGCTGGGCTTGTCAGGGAGCGAGTCTGCCCAAACATGGTAATAACAGACCCCGTACACGGCTGCTGGAAAACTTTCCCGCGTTTCTTTTTTCCCCTTCCTTCCTCGAAAGCTTGTAGACTCCTGAATGATGTCATCAGCTACCGGCGGGAAAGACACATGCTCAGGTATGCAGCAGAGTCCTGCATTTCAGCTCCTAGACCATAAACCCATGACAAACCGTGTGTCAAAGAGTTTTCCACAAGACCAGACATGTTCAGTCTTACTTTACTGAGTGTTAACAGAGACAATTAAACTCCTAAAAAAGTTTTGCATCAGTAGCCCAGTGCAGGATCATTATATTTGGAATTTTATGACACATTAACCATTATGTATGTCATGTGTGTGTGTGTGTGTGTGTGTGTGTTGGGTCAGATGGAAATGAAAGACACAACTAGCAAAGGCCCTGAGGTGTTTTTTCCCCCGTCTCGGGATATAGGCACTATATTGTGATCATCATTTCCAAGACACTGTTCATTAACGACAAACTCACACACGTCTGCTCCATACTGCCTATTAAACACCCTCTGTGACTTTAATGATGCGTGTGTGTGTGTGTCAGACAAATTGGTTATTGTTCTGCATTCTGACAGGGCTGAAAGGTCAGGAGAGATTAGAGAAGTGCAGTCTGTTCTGCAAACACACACACACACACTCTGCAAGTACAGAGTGCAGCCCTGACCCCGATCTCATAAAAGACATATGGACTAAGTCAAATCTGGAATGAATTTGAGTTGAGAAAGTGAATGTAAGAAACCATCTGATTGGCTGCAGTTTATGTTTATGCATGAAAGTATTTCAGCAAGTCCAGGCTGAACCGATCGGAAACACACATTTTCCTGTCTAATAACATCTGTGTTGGTCTGTAAGTGTTTGTCTGCAGTTTGAGAAAAAAAGCCCCTCTGGCTGGACAGGTGTGAGGCGATTCAGCTAGAAACAGCAGCAAGACCTTATGAACTCTTTCTCTCCTTTTTGCCTGTCCCCATCTGTGAGGTCAGATTTTCGTTGTTTTGTACACTTGTCCCTTCCTGACGCTTTCTCAGCCAGAGAAGGCTCATGGGGTCTTCAGTTACCACAGTTCATTTTGTAGTGCCACAAGACACAAGAGTTGTATTTAGGTTTCAGTGCATGTTCTGTTTTCATTTACAGTACCTTTCAAAAGTTAGGGGTCAGTCAGTATTTTAATTAATACTTTTATTCAGCAAGGACTCGTTAAGACTTTTACATTGTTTAACTTTTTTTCTTCTTTCAAACTTTGTTTCTAAAAAATGCTTTTAGTTTCTAAAAAATATTAATTTGAAAATGTAATAATATTTCACAATATTATTATTATTATTACTGTGTTTTTGATCAAATAAATGCAGCCTTGATAAGCATAAAAGGCTTCTTTCAAAAACATTTAAAAAAAATCTTACTGACCCCAAACTTTTGATCGGTAGTATATGTGTTGAGCTTCTGTTCTCAATCATTTGTAGAAACATTCTGCATAACTAGAGGCACCAAACAGACAGAATAAAAAAAAAACAGGATTCAAAGCCTAACCTGTTATCCATCGAAATAGACAGTTCCAAAATTTACAGCATTTAGTCAGTGCTGTTTCATTCAAACAGATGCATTTTCGTTGGTGCTGCTAGAAGCACAGAAATAAATTAAACCCTGTAACTTTAAGTTGAGTTTTCAGCAAAGCTCATTTAGATGTGAAAATATGATGTTGCATTCAAATTTGAGACAGTGTTCGACAGAAGTTTTACCACAGGTATTTGCCACTACCATATGAACATATGAATTTGTTAAATAAAAATAGGTAAAAAAAAAGTCTGAAGTCAACCCTTACCAAAATGTAGTCTGTATTTTAATAAGGGTTCATTTGAAACTATTTTGAAACTAATTTTATCATCATTTTCATACGTTCAAATGGTAGTTGAACATTTGAACTGAAGTATTACACATTAACACATAGTAGTGAATTTCCTTTAGAAAATGTAAAAATATGATTTTTTTGTACTGAAATGACAAAATTTGTCCTACTGTGCAGTGTGCAGACAGTAGTGAGTTATTTTAGGTGTTTTCATATGGCAGTAGTTCAGTCTGCCATGGGCAGGTTTTAAATGGTTCTGTTTGCAGATTCTGATAAGAAAGATGTAGATCTTCAAAAACAGAAAACGGTTCAGCTCTTGTGAATCTGAATCAGTCACATATCATTAGGTTCTGAGATCTCTTATCTGTCTACCAGTCTGCATTGTGTATTTTCTTGGTGTGTGTCTTTGGGGTAGTAAAGAGTTAATATAGGAGGGGAAAAGCCTTCTCTAGCTTTTTCAGTCTAAAGAATTAAACTAGGTCTGCTTGCCGCAATCAGTCCTCTGGTTTTCTCTGTCTCTCTCACTTGTTCTCTTTCTCTCTACCTCTATTAGAGGGGTAAGTTGAGTATCCCAGGGGGACACAGTGGCTGTTTTTAAGCTGGTCTGAGGTGAGTTCCCTGAAATCTGTCGCAGATCTCAGATCTAAGAAGAATCTGTAATTCTCTGTGGAGATACTGACATCACATTCTATCGCTACATCAATAACTTTTTACCACGTTTCTGTGATGATTTTTAGGGGAAAATCTGCAGCATTCCACGAAACATTGTAAAATGTGAGTACTACACTCTTAACATAGCTGAAAGCATAATCCATTTAGCCAAAATATCTAATAAACGAACACACAAGCCGTATGTGTAAAACTTTGTGAATGGCATCTGCTTCAATTGCGTGGAGTTCTGCGGGCACAGATGCCGTGTAGGCCTGCATATAACACGTGATATCTTAGGCGTCATTGTGTGACAGATTTCTTTTTACCACTTTACTGAAATTAGCATTTTCAATTCTTCACCAGTTGGGATGGTCAATGTGTTTCTTTCTTTTATTTTGATTCAATGAATTAAAGAGAAAAAAGTATTAATATATCTGGAATTAATTGTAATGTCTTTGAACTATATGCATATAAATAATTGTAATTGTAATACAATGGGTATAGAAAAGAATCACCCCCTTTTAAAATTATCAAATTTTTTGCTTTGCAGCCTGAAATGAAAACGGACACAGTTTTTGTTTTATCCAGCTGTATTTACTCAGTGCAACTTATAACATCCAAGTGAAAAATATAACACCAACATGTCAGAATAAAAATAAATGAAAAGTCAGAATCACTGAGTTGGAAAAAGGATCACCCCCTTGTGTCAGTTTCTTTGTTGAACCACTTTTGCTTTAATTACAGCCTTTAGTCTGTTGGGAGATGTCTCTACTAACTTTTCACATCTAGACTTTACAATATTTGCCCACTCTTCTTTGCAGAACTTCTCAAGTTCAGTTAAATTTGATGGTGAGCGTTTGTGGACTTGCAGTCTTCAAGTCATTCCTCAGATTTTCAGTGGGGTTTAAGTCTGGGCTCTGACTAGGTCATGCAAGGACATTC